AGACTTGCTTTTAAATTTCATGATTAATTTTCACAAGCGTAATTTTATTTCGGTATAAATTGGTTAAGATGAAACATTGGTTTTCCTTGCCTTTGTATAAAATTTCATGATGCACTTGGACAGTTCTCACGGCGTGCACACAGGTTGGAAAACACTGCTCTATGCTGCCCTAACAACTATCTTGCCATCAGAATATCTGGGCCAAGTATAACTCAAGATTGGTTCTTGTCCAGGTCACTAAATAATCCTTTCTTTTCTGGGTTGAAATTAAGTCACGGCTGATACAAGAAAAGTCCATCAAAGTCCATTATTATATTCATTTGGGCAAGGTTAACCAGCAGCTGGTAACTTTGGCATTAACTTGTCAGGCTAACTCATGCCCCAAAGATGGTAAGTGTGGGAAATGTAAATGTTGCACTGGTTAAGTAAGGGATCTTTTTCTGAATGCACACTCACAAGGAGAAGATTTCTCTCGTGCCCTTCCTGAAGCAATATCCTTATAGGCCAATGAATTCCTCTAACTTTTCCCATTTGCCATAGTTACTTCATCAAATTTATTTGAAATACAATTGTACAGGTATAAAGAATCTTGATTAGTTCATTTCTGTGGATAGCCAAATGGAAATATGAGGAAAGAATTTCTTTAACTCGGTAAATTATTGAATTATGCTAAATGTCTTGCTAATTTGCATCAACAATAAAATGTTAGATGTATATCGAGACACTAATGTTTTAAGAATATCTATTGATTGAAAATGGTAGTTATCTTCCACAAAAATGCACTGACATAAATGTCCTGAGTATTGATATATTGCTATGGGTGAGTTTCCTGAGCTGGGGTGAGGTGTTTTAGATAGTCTGGGTTTCCCCGTGCTATCAAGTTTTAACTCCATTGTACACAGCTTTTCATTTCGGCAGGATTCCACTCAGAAGCAAGCCTGATTGACAGGCTCACAGTCAGGCTGAAGCACTGCAGTGGAGACCAGAGCTGTAGGAAGAGGGAAGGAATCTATTGCCATGTTCATGGTAATTAGCAGGAGTGAGGGGGAGAGGTGTATGGATTGTATGATTTATCATGCCTGCCGAGGTCCAATCCCCAATTTGAGAGGGGAGGATGTTGGGGGCAAGGAAGTCTTTGGATGGGGCAAGGGATATTGATGCAAAGGGTGGGAGGGGGGCTACAATAGAGAAAGAAAGAGGAAAAACCGGGGAAAAGCACTCCTGCTCCTCCTTGCCCACAGTCAACACTGCAAATGCATTTACCGTTTCTGGACCACTATCCACACCTTCTTTGAGATGCCAGATTTTCCAAGACCAGGGAATTGGGACTGTAAAACACTGGTTAAATGTAAGGTTCCGGTCTGATTATAATATTTACATGAACTATCCATCTCTGGTGAGCAAGTGCTCTGTTCACTCTTTGTTACTTGAAGTTGATGAGTAGGATATACATTGGGGTTGGTTTTGAGACATTAAATTTTTTTTTTACATCTCACTTGACATCACCTGGGAGCTAAAATAATTGAAAATGGGTGCATACATTGCAACGTGGGTTATGGTTCAGAAAGTCAATTTTCTCTCTTTAGCCATATTTACCATTAAAGTGAAATCTAAATCTCCAGTGCATATCTGATTAAGAGAAATGTAAAATCTCTTGATCTGCTCATATCACATTTCTTACGGAGCCCATTAGTGCATGACCAATGATGTCCCTGAGCACTGATCTGATACATAAATTAAAGAGCAAAGTACTTAGTTTGGGATAATAGAGAGACAAGTTCATGATTTAAATTTATGATGTGAGGTGTTTGCTACGAACACTGATCAATTTTATCCTCCTCTGTTATATTAGTGTGAAAGATATGTTTAAAAGGATTGGCAAACATGTTAAGATAGAGGAATTCCACAGAAATTGTTAGGTACTTATACATTAACATGTGATACATAGTTTTGGAGCTTAATATTGGACTCTAAGATATTCAAATGTATTCCAGTGATTTCGGATATTGGCCCTGTTATAAAGAGGAAACCAGGAATCTAAGAATTGATTTATACATCACTATCTGAGATCATATTGCATATGAGCATAGCTTAGTTACACTGTTTAACTCCTGCCTTGCTGTGTTGTTTTAGAGGGAGTTTGGCAATGATGCCTGGTTGTGCAGGAGAGAGAGAAAGTTTAGGGAAGAGGTAGATTATTTGCCTTCTACTCATTTAACTGATGGATTGAAAGGCTTATCCAAAATGATCTGAGGAATCCAAAAAAACATCTCTGGGCACATTGCAAGCTCAGATTGTTGCTATTCTAGGTTTTCACTCTGTGGTGTGAGTCAGTGGCCACTAGGGAATCTGATTGCATTTAACTCTGGTTAATTGAGGCCTGACTCTCAATTTACGTAGCCAATTTTGCATCAGTTCTGAGGTGAAAGAGCTCCAGAGCAATATTAAATGCACCTAAAAAAGCATTGGGCCCATTGCTTGTTCACAGTTTTGAAGCCCACAAGAAGTTCACACTGCAATTTTCTAATTACGCTGATGATGGGTTTCACCATTTCTCAGTTAAGGAACAAATGATACTCTGTCTGTTTCATCTGTGGAAGTAAAACACTGGCACATTATAGTCTATGCATGACACCATCAAAGAGTTTTCAAACTAAACAGGAGTGATAAAACACTACTTTCCTCTTATTTTGTTTCTTGATGAATTCACTAATCAGAGTAATAGATAGAACTGCATGGGTCAATTATATTGCAGAATGCAGGCACTGAACTGACAGCATACATTCCAAAGGAATAGTGTGGTATTTCCATTACCCTCACATTTTTATCCATGTGGTCAAAGTCTGCTAATTTAAAACCAATCATTTCCGAAATCTGGGTCACTCAAGAGTTCAGAATGTCTGTCTAATGCGAATTAGACTGAAGCTGCCAAAACTCATTTAACCTGTGGACCATAACACCCTTAGAAAGAACAACCTTTCAAAACCTACTGGCTGGACTGAATTATAACTTGGGCCTCAGAAGTAAAGTAACAGAACTGCTTCTAACGTGTTCTGCCAGCTGGTACCCCCTACTAGGTGCTACCTTATTAACCAGATTAATTAGCCCAAAAAAAAATTAGCTTTCTGCCACATCTCAAAGTACTGGTGTGCTATTATTGTGTATTTTACTCTAGCTGAAAATGAATATAGTACAACATTACGAAAGAGTTTAACAGTAAGGTCAGTTGCAAGACAGATCCAGCAAATCTATCACTGGGGAATCAATGCTCACAGAGACTGGTTACAGCTTTGTTGAAAACATTTGGTTCTATTCCCATTGAAAATCAGTTGTGGAATTTTAGTTTTGCCTTCTGTGCGCATCTGTTGAAACGTTCTGTTGTTGGTGTTGGTTACTGTCATTTTAAGTTAGAGGTTTGGACTTGGAAAAACCACTGAGTACAGAGCTCAAATGTTTACTTAAATGGGAATTTTTACAAGATTAGTGTCTTTATTCAGTATTTGAATTTCTCACGACCGTCTTGAAAATATTCATTGGCTTGTTATTGATCTTTTATCTAATTACAGTTTCATGGTGTATTTTTCGAGGTAAGGCTATTATATGTTGGGTAATGTAGTACTAAATGGTCTTGGATCGCTGTACTTGGAAAGCGTTTGAGGGCAGCCATAAAGACTGCTGGGTGCCCAGGCAAGCTGCATACATGACCCAACTCTGTATTCTGGGATTTCTTCCTAGTTGTTATGAAATGAGTAAAAAGAGAAACAATCTTTGGCCCCATACGCTGCCCATGTTCCTTCACGGCAAATCATGCACCCCACCAATGCTCATGGCTCCTTGTACGCTTCTTGGCAACCTATGCAATTTTATACACCCCTTGGGCCTCTCATGCCCTTCATAATAATGCATGCCCATTGATACACCATGCATGGCCTTTTATAGCTTCTATATCAACTTAGTGCTGACTCAGACCAACACGTTAGCATCACCCTCCACCCTCAGACAATCCTACATCCCCACAGTCATTTATTGCCCCTATGCCAGCCTATGGGAACTCATGCCAACCCATGGCCCCATATTCCCCACCCTTTGTCCTTACACCCTCCATGCCAATTCACACAAAATCCACTCTGGGAAGATCTCAGGAGACTGGGTAGCATGAAAAAAAAATCTATAATAGACCAACTGAAAATGGTGGGTGTTGTATTAAGTGGGGACTTCTCAAATCTGTGCAGCTATATTTTGGCTAAGGCATGAAGTCCTTCTGACTCTATACAAATTGAGGCCAATGGGTTGAATGCCATTCTCCTCTGCTGTGTGATTCTCTGGTAATGTCTCCTTTTTGACAGTTGTGAAATGCTGTGAACAATATGAGTTTCACCACTTTGGTGACCAAACAGTTTGGTCTTAAGTTGTCAGTTTCACCGAGGTATGTCATGAGGTGGGAAATGAAAATGTCACATTTTGTGGGGTCCTTTGCAAATTCGAATTTAGATAGACATTTGAGAATTTGTTTTATCCTAAATCTAATCCAGACTGCATGTGACTTGAAAGTGCTCAACAATGACTTCCATGATGACAAATGATTAAACATTTGAAGCTGAGGAAGATGTTAGGCCATGAGGAGAATGGAGGGCAATGGTTTTGGATGTTGATTGCCCTAGTAAAGAATTGGTATGGATACAATAATTAAACAGTCTCCATCTATGCTGTAATGGTCTATAATTCTGAATTAATTTTGAGATGTTAAATTTTTCTGCCCATTATATTAACAATAAACTTTAAACTTATCCTAATTTCTTTCTTTTCAAAAATAGGAATTTCATACATAGATATTAAATCAATTGTAGAACATGATTTGATAGATCATCGCTTGATGTGCTAAACACCACCAAAAATGAATCCCTTGAAAACATTTTATAAATCATTAACAAAGATTTAATGATATAAAATGAATATTTAACATATTGCATTTTACTGAATTAGTTTATTTTACATATACCTAATATATGTTGGAAAAATTGCTACTACAGAGGAACTGTGCATTTCCAATCATGGTTTTATCTTCATAAATCTATATGCTGTTACTTAACTTATTGTGGTATGAGTTGAAGTTTTTGCATTATTTACACAACACACCTGCAAGCTAATTTTTCTTTAAGAATACAAAATAAACAACATTTTGTTGAAATGAGTAATGCAACAACAGATTTCCAGTTCTAATTCTGATCCCTCTTTGTTATAATAAAGAAGTGTAATGCTCATAGTCAATAAGCACTGAATTTTTGGTTTAGAAGCTTTGGGTCCAAGGTGATGTTCAAATTTTCATTGAAGGTTGAAAATATTGCCATCTGACATTAAACACATGACGTCCCCCAACTAAAGGCACTATAAAGTCTGAACTCATGGACATGGCCAATGGATTTATCTGATACTGTCCTGTATTGTTTCTTTATTGTCCACTAAGCCCACCATGTGGCTCTTTCCATCTGCATTCCTGATATCGGAGTCAGGAGTCACGCAGTCTACATCATCTGGTTCTTGACTCTGTGGTGAAATGGGTTGTCCACCTTTCACACGTTTCCATTTCATCCTTCGGTTCTGGAACCAGACCTTTACCTACAGAATAAAGAGTCAGAAATTACAGCTCACATGTTCCTCCTGGCTTTGCTCTCCCTCCCTACAGATGACAACTTGTCAAATTCCACATCAAATTCCCCAGGTCAAAAGACTGACCAACCAATGAGATAGTTAATCCATAGTTGGGCAGATTTGCAAACTGAATGGCCAGGCAGCAATTTGCTAAAATAAAAGCATAATATAATAAAAGAGAGATTTGGCAAGCATTCGTGATGTCACATTTTCTTATGTTAATTGTTTTCAAGCTCATTTTCTTAAACTTCCCTCTTGAGGTTTTAGAGTTTTCATAGGGCCACAGAATTACAGGTACTGATCATGCTGTGTTAGGTGCTGTGCTGGCCATAGTTTCTGTGAGAGACATGGTAATGAGTGACAATCTTCTGTTCAACTAAAAGAGGTATCACAACCAAACCTCATCAGTTAATTAAAAATATACGTATACTCACTGCCAGTGGGGATGTAACCAGACAGTGATCAAATATTGAGACACTGGATGATTTCTCTCAATCTGCAATCCAGGAGTTCAAGTAACAAGTGAGACCCTTAACTTGAGATGCTCCTGACATTTGCTATTCTTCTGAGCCTAGCCAAGGTCATCACCTATAGACAAGGAACATTGATGTGACCTTTGGTGGGTAGAGCAGAGGAGCTGTTCACCTCCCTTTCTTCTGTGGTCTTGTCTGTGTCCAAGAGGTTCTGGAGGAGGTGTTAGCTTCTGTTGCAGAGGGATTCTGTGACCAGTGGGCAACACAGGGGATGGAGTACTTAGGAGACACCCAATAGGTTTCTTTTGATTTCTTTTAATGGCTTAGTCCTTCATTTGTTGCACCCCTCTGCAAATGGAGGGTGGTATACACTTGCTTGGCACACTGTCCAACTGTACTTGGAAAATATTCTCAATGAATACCTTTCTGTGCCATTCTAAATATTATTGGACCACTTGCTTGTAAAAACAGCAAGGCAAGGGGTTGCTACGCTAGTAAGCATTACATCATGCTTAGGGTTGTGGTGACAAGAATACACACCATATTCCAATTTAATGACAGATCAACAGGATATTTCATATATTACTTCATAGTTTCAAGACCAACACAGTGTATTCCTGCATTCTTGAACAAAGAATATAGACTCTTTGGTGTGTCTACCTTCTTTAACTATCTGCACCAAACAGATAAACACCATCAACTACACCTTCAAATCAATTAGGAATTTAACAGGTTAAATCTTACCTAAGCTAATTAAATAAGGACCAAATACCATTGGAACAACAAATGCCACAAACAACAGCTCGAGGGCCTGAAAACAGTGATTAATCTGCAAATTGCACAATACCACATTTATAGAACTAAATTCCTAGTCCATGAATAATCAGTTTTCCACAAAACTGCACTCATTTACCAGAAATACAAGGAAATCATATGGAAGCATTGCCATTAAAGCTTTCAATGGCTAGCCTGCTGTGGGGTAGAGCGATGAAGAGATAAATTGATTCTTTTAAAAGTTTGTCGTACTTGCAAACAACAATGCCAGCAGCCAAGTACGTATGATTCTGTAAACCCACAGCAAATCAAGGGGGATAGAAAATGTCAAATAACAGGAACTTGCACCTACAGGAATAAATAGAGCCAGTGTAAACAGGAAATTGTTCTGACTTTCCAGTTTTAATTCATTCACTAGAACTATGGATTTCAGAACAAATGCATTTGAATATTTTTGCCAACAGATCTTATTGCTGCTAAATTGGAAGTTCTAACTTAGGTATAAATTTCTAGCTTCTTCAAGGAAGTTTCCTGTCTTCAGTTTAACTTCTCTGTTTTTCCAAAGAAGGATTCTTGTCTTGAAATTGAACAGAAACCCTCTTCTACTGCAGTGTTCCCAATGGTTGCTATTGACTTACAAGCGCCGCAGGAGAACAAGCAGGGGAACACTTTACATAAAGAATCTGATTCACGAAGGATACTCAAATGCAACTTTAGAAAAGATTCTGAGTGAATGCTGCCTTTAAAGAGGCAGAAATCCTGATGTCCCTGATAATTGTATATGATGTGACAAAGACATTCCCATATAGGAAAAATATTTTTTTCTTATGATTTTGCTATTAAATGGCTAATTTCTTCATTTCCCTTCATCAAAATAGTTGCAGTTCCCCTTTAAGTCTACATTGCAATCGGAACAGCATATGCCTCCGTAACAGAAAACACTTGAGCCTCAAAATCCAGGTCTTTTCCTTTCTTTAATTCTGTAACCCAGCCACAGAGAGCTGTTCCCATTCAAGAGATTTAATAGCATTTAAAATAAAGAGCAATTTCTCTTAAAATGGGCAGAAGGTTATGGCCTGTTTTAGGGGGAATCAATTGTAACCAGATGCCACGCAAATGAGGCACGGCAGGTTCTGTGTTGTTTTAGCACTTTTGCTGCTCTCTGTTGTTTGGGGTAGCTGAACGTTTGGATGCAAATGTTCGTCACAAATGGCGTTACTCAATTTAAAAAAACACAAGTGTCTTAGTCACTTCAGTTTCTCAAACCAAAACAGTCTTGCATTTACTTTGGCATTATGTGTGCATTTTTTTTTGGTATTGCTGGTGTTCTGGAAAGTACTTTTTGTATTTACATAAACGCACGTCCCTCGCTGCCCTGCACTGTTTTCTGATGGAGATCCTGTTTTAATGCCTCTGTCTGAGTTACAGTCATTCATTCAGCGGTGTGCTCGAGCAGCAAAGATTACCTTCGAACCTCCATGGTTATACTGTCTGCTGGCCTTCACTGTCTCAGTCCACAGGGGAAGAATAGGCAGCTGGGTGAAGTAAGGCACCTAGGGAGGGATGATGGGGTCACGGTGGGTTTGGGGGGGGCCGGGGGGGAAATGCATAACAGGTGCCTGTAGTACTGTAACCTAGCAACAGTAGAGAACTCCTTGAGGACAGATGGAGAGAAAGTTGCAAAAATGCAAAGTTACACTCTTTCACAAATGCCTCCTCAGGAATTTTCTGGCAATGGGAGGAATTTCTTTAAACCGATATGTGAAGTAGCACTACAAGCACACTTTAATTCCCTCCCCGATCAATTGCTTGCTTTTGCAGAAGTGGAGGATAAGCTCTTTTAACTCTGCATTTTCTTGACCAAGTAGTTGCCTTCAGTCTTCTCCCAATTTCTGCACTTCTCAGGTTATATGGAGGAAAACCCTGGTGCTGTTCCAAGGAATGCGATTTTGCACTTTAAAAATTTCCATTGCAAGTCCTCAACATGAAGGCCAAAAATAATAGCACTTGGCAAACCGCACGATTACTGGGTCAGACTCCCACATTGCTTGTGGTTCCCATACCCATCATGTCAGTATGGTAGTGCTGTGGGTAATTCAGTGTGCTGAACATTACCCTTTCAGCTTCAGGATTGGCAGTGAATTGAAAAACCGATCTCCCTTTGCTCTTGACTGCAAGGATCCTGTAAGAAATGAATCCAGGCAGTCTCCATTAAAAGACTGAAGTAATTGGTGTGCAGTATGGGGGGCATAATTCAACATGGATTGGCAGCCTTATTCAGACAGACTCCACCAGGGTGGCTATTGTGAAATAAGGCAATATCACACTGGCACAGTGTTCTGAGTGTCCGAGTCCTGACATTGCTCATTTTTACCAGCACAAACTGTCCTAGATATTATGTGAGTGATGTCCTGGTCCATGGTATATACAGGTTCCAATGCCAGGCAATGTCAGTGTCAGGGAATGTAAGATGCCAGCTTGTGCTCCTCGTTCTATAGCTGGCAGAGTGCCAATTGCTTGCACCATCTGAAAGAAATGGAAAGTTGAGGCTCACTGCTTCCTAAGAAAGCAGAGAAAGTGGTACCTGCATCTCAAGTGCATTCGAGAAGCAGAAGTGGCCATGATTTCAGCAGCAATGTGAGGGATAAGGTATGGGGGTAGGAGAGTCTAAAAATGTGGAAGATGGAGTTAAAACAAAATAAAGTAAAACACACGAAAATGAACTAGATTCAAGAAAATTGGAAACAATAAAACATTTACCTGTCTTTCTGTGAGGTCCAGGTTAACTGCTATCTCATATCGCCGGAGTCTGGTCAGGTAATTGTGATGGGCAAATTCAGCCTCTAATTCTCGAATCTGTTCTTTAGTGAATGCTGTCCTTTCTTTTCTGGCCTTGTTGTTAGACTCTGACTTGTAATTTGAATCTTGAGCTTCTGTAAGAAGTTACAACAGCATTTTATTATAAACAATATTTATCTGGCAGTATCCACATGGTGAGCGTACAGAGAATAATTAGCATTTGTTTGACTCAGGATTTTGTGAGTATTAGCTTCACATCGACACTTCAGGTCTTACAGGTATAACACCAATAGAATGACTCACTGTGAGGAGAGGCCATAGCTTTCAGTGTTAAAATCATGTTCTCTAGGCCTGCTCCTGTAGCTAAGGCTTCATTGACACAGTTGAAAGAAAGGCAGAGAATCCTCATGGTATCCTGGGCAACACTGCTCCCCAGATCACTATTACCAAAAAAAAACAAATTAATTGGTAAATTTCCTTGCTGGGGATCTGTGGATGTTACTGCCAGTACTGCTATCACATTTGTGTACAGCACACTTCAGAGGCAATGCATTGGATTCAATGCTTTGAGACAATCTGAAGCAATAAGTTGCCGAAGCAATGTGAGAATTATCATTGATAGTTATTGGTTGTGTGAGCTTAGAAAGTTCTCATCTAATTGTGACATTCAAGCAACACCATAAGAGGAAGGAATTTACATTTATATAGCATCTTCCACATCCTCAGGATGTCCAGAGTGCTTCGTACGTAATGACTTACTTCAGAAATTCTGTCAATTAGATAAACACAGCAGGCAGTTAGTGCACAGTAAGATTCCACAATCAACAATGAGCTAACTGACAGATGAACCCATTTGGTTTTTGTTATTTGAATATAGGATGGAAGAGAATCTTTGCTTTTCAGACTGTTCCTTGAATATCTTTTAGATTCTGCTGTGCATGGCCTTGGCTTCATGCTTTATCCAAAAAGGCAGCACTGTGAAATATCCAGCACTACTTTGGGACCCAGATTATATACACAAGTACTGAAAAGGAGATGGAGTCCAAAAACAGAGGAAAGAGTGACCTTAGCTGCCACTTGGAGTACAAAAGGAGATTTGAAACCATCATTTTAAACAATGAAGCTAATGTATGGGATGCTCCCATTACTGGTTATAACATACACCGGAAAGTTTATCTACTTTTGGACAGAATACTTTTCATGGCACCGAGTGTCATGTCAAATACTGATGGCCAGTTCTTGTCACTGAGTAATGATCTCCATACTGAGCCTCTACAAGCATGATGATCACTGGACACTTACTGAATCAATTCATTACAAGGTAGGACTGGTGTTTGAAGCATTGAATTATTACATTTTGACTTACTCTGACAAAGCATTGGCTTAGACAGGATAGTCTGAATGGCTACTGGCCTTGTCATACAATGGTAGTGTCCCTACCTCTGATCCAGAAGGCCTAAGGTTCAAGACCCGTCAGTCCTGGAGATGCATCATGGCATGTCTGAACAAGTTGATTAAAACAACTAAATCAAATGAGCACCTCCTCTGCTTTAAGACCTCTGTGATCGTGGTGATTTTTACTCAATTTCAGCTATTCACAGTTCATGAGCAGATAGTAACAAAACGACAGTGGTGGAAAAATTCTGACTGTTCTGCAAACTGAAACAGTATTGCCATTCAAAAGAAAGAGCCTACACTTATAACCTTAGGATATCCCAAAACATACCTCAGGCAACTTGTTATTGTTTTTAAAGCTTCAGTTGAAACTTATCTGAGGGAAATCCCAAATTGTTGTCTTACCAAAACTTTGAAATAATTTTACTTTCTCTACTAGATTCAAAAAGCTGACCTGATTTATGAATTCCAGAGGAGTTCATTTAAAAAAAATAATTTATAAGACGCGGAGAATTTGGCAAAATCAGCGTTCCGTGTCCATCTCTGATTTCCAATGGGAAGGGGCTAGAGAACATCTTTTCTGAACCCATCCAGAGGACAGCTAAAAGTCAACTATATTTTTGCCAGGCTGGAGCCTGTAGGTTGCATTGGGCAAAGTTGACAGATATCCATCCTAAAAGAATGATATGGATTTTTACATTAATTTAGTATGTGCATGCTAAGTGGATTGGCCACGCTAAATTGCCCATAGTGTTCAGGGATGTGTAGATTAGGTGGGTTATAGCGGGGTGGGTCTGGGTGGGATGCTTTGAGGTTCGGTGTGGACTGGTTGGGCCGAAGGGCCTGTTTCCACACTGTAGGGTTTCTATGATTCTATGGTCAATGCTCCTAACTTTTCATTTTAGATTTAATTAATGGAATTTAAATTCAAATGCCATGACAACTGCTGTGAACTTATGTTACAGGCCTTTGGGTGATCAATTCAGGAATGTAATTGCTAATCTACTCATATTCTGGCTATTATGATGCCACTGGTTATGAACTATAAGGACGTTACTGGTCCAAACTTCTAATCTCTACTAATTTTCTCCCTCCTGAATCCTGGTCAGATACAGATCCATGGGCATGGGTCTTTTTTTAAAGAATCCACTTTGATGGTCATTTAATTGTTTACTGTTGTCCTCATCTCAGATCTACACGCATTCACGTTCCAGCAAGTTCACCTCACCAAAAGATGTTCATAAATAGGAATGAATGATTTTTCCTTTCCCTGTTCAAGCTCGTTAATGTCAATCATTGCAGCCTGCCACCCACTGCCTCACATTAGATCAAGCACAGTAAGGGTGTCAAACTGTACAGTCAAACTGGGGATTGGAGAGTTATTGGGCTTTAGCCTTGGCTGAGAGGTGGCACTCCCAATGCTGATCCAGAGGTTTGTGGGTTCAACTGCAACTCCAGAAGCATGAGCACAATTTCAAACTCATATTCCAGTTCAGTCCTGAGGGAGTGCTACCCTCCTGTTGTTCAAGTGAGACATCAAAACACACCCTGCCCTTTCAGATATGCATACAGAATAACATCATCTGAAAAAATACAGGAGTGTTAACCCTAGTATCCTGGCTAATGTTTGTTTTTCAAAGAGTACTGCTGACACAGATTATTGCATTGCTGTCTAAGGTGCACTGCTTTGTATAAGTTAGCTACTGCACTTCTTACATTACAACAAAAGGTACACTTCAAATTTATCCAGTTGATTGTAAAACACTTTGGGATGGTCCCTTAGATTTTGAGAGGTAATACATAGTTCAAATCTTTCTTTTCAGGTAAAATTTGTCCATGAATCATTGACAGAAATCTTATCAGTGTGAAATAAATAAGTTCGGATCCCTGCCCAGTGAAGCGGTTGAAGCTACCTCGCTGAATGTTTTTAATGCAAGGCTAGATAAATTTTTGAACAGTAAAGGAATTAAGGTTATGGTGAGCGGGCGGGTAAGTGGAGCTGAGTCTCAAAAAGATCAGCCATGATCTTATTAAATGGCGGAGCAGGCTCGAGGGGCCAGATGGCCTACTCCTGCTCCTAGTTCTTATGTAATATCTAAACTTCTGGAGCTATGAATCTTGTAAGGTATAGCTTTGGTATAGCAACTATGAGCCAAACAATGAGGAAAAAAAATGTACAATATTGCTGTGGTCTTTGTGGATGAATTGCAATGATTAGGAAAGTTATATGTAGCTAGAAGGTGTAAAAACATGGAGCTGCAATGTCAAATGTAGCGAGAAAATAGTCTTGAATTCATTGTGATGAGCTCAACCATGACAGAATTTCAAATGCTATCTACTTTTAAAAGGATCATGCTATTTCTTCCAACAATCCTTGTTGGAATCCACAGACAGAGCTGCAATTCCCCAGCACAAATTCAAATTGAACTGAAAGATGTTGTATGGTTTCATTACACCAAACCACCAATAGGCCAAGTTGCTGACACTCTGAAGGGGAAATGCACCTTAAACTGTTACATGAGATTTCATTGCAGGATCTACAAATTCTCCCTGCACGTCACAGGAGCCCTGATTACAACAAAACTATTTTGCCAAATGCAGCGCTGAGAAAGCCAGGCTTGAAATGGAAATGGAACAGGGAAAACTGGACAGAGTCATCTTTTTGTTGTTGTGAACTTCAAAGGTGCACTGCTCAAAACATTACAGGCTGAGGGAAGGGAAGCAGGGCAGACGGCTGTCCTCTCAGCTGCAGATGGTTCATGGATCAGGAATACCGATGGAACTGGGAAATAGCTTCAGGGGAAGAAAACATTTATCAATAAAGTATCTCAAAATTTTAAAAAGGATTCTGACAAACGTAAATTTCTTTGTAGAGTTGCTCCATAAAGTTATAAAAGTTTATCTTGGTAGGGACAAAGATTTTAGTGCAATGAAATGTCAGTAATTATGTCAGCGTTATCATATTCCAACAGAATATTGTTTTTATTTTCTCCTAGACTGAACTTTTCAATTCAACTTCAGTTTATGAAGTATACACAGGACTCTCTCAATAGTTTCATTTCCCCCTTTATATTGTTTAAATTGTTGTATTAGGTATTTGGGATGATTTAAATAAGTGCAGTATTTAAATACACTGCAAACAAAATTTATGTTCTAAAACAGATACCAGTTAAGGAAAGACTGTATGGACTACTAGCTCTGTTCCTCCCACAGACTGAATAAAAAGGATTCTGCGACACTAGTTGTGTTTTGCTTGTCTGGAAATTAGTAGTTCCAACATTATTGCATAAGCATAGCAAATTCTTTGTTATGGTTTTAGTTTTTATGCTAAGCAAAGTCAGAAATTTCAGCAGTTCATCACAAAATCTTTTCCATTAAATTTCTGTACTAATCACTTCCTGATGAGACACAGCACCACCAGAAACCATTGTGACAGCACCTCCGGTACATGGATTGCTGCAAGTTCATCATCTTTACAGAACGCGCAGAGATGAGCAATAAGTGCCACTTTGCTATCGTTGCTCATATCCCAGAACACGTGAGAGTACAGTACTGCTACTCAATCGCAGCTCTACCCTATGCTAACAATCTACCTCAACTCCCACCCTAACCTAAAATTACCATTGTCCAGTGCCAATGTTATCAACATTTCTGCATTGGACACCCTGTTGTTTCTCTGAATGGCATTTGCAATTGATAAGTATGGCATTTGATATAGATAAGCAACTGGTTTGAGTCT